TGAAAAGGTTGAGCTGGCTGCGGCCGGCTTTGAAGATGGCGTGATACGAGTTTGGGATATAAATTCAGGACAACTTAGTTATATATTGAAAGATACAGTTGAAGATGTCGAACAAATAATGTCAGCAATTAATAATGAAAATTCTATAAAAGAACGAGTTACTTGTTTACAAATTATAACACCAAATTTACACTCATATTATAATACATCTGAATTATTATCTGAACAAAAAACACCTGCTATACTTTTTGCAACTTATCGAAATGGTTATTTTCGTGAATGGGATCTTACTTCTGGTCAAATTACTCATACAATTTGCACAAATCAAAAGGGTGGTATCAGTTGTCTCTTTGTAGTTGATGATCCAGATGAAATACGTATCTTTACTGGAGCACGCGATGGATCTGTCAAGTGCTGGGTTCGTACAATTTATGATTTAGATAACGAGTTTAATATTATTGATTTGGATTGTGATGAATCACGTAAGAATGCGTGGAAATTGCTCTATACGTTATCAGGTGAATTAGGAAACGCAATTACTAGCGTAGATGCTAAAGTAGTCAAAACTAAAAATGGTTGTTTTGGTATAACGGTTATTGGAGCTGCGGATGGAGAGGTTAGATTATATGATTACCTTACAGGTCAAATTATAACGACATTAAGTTATGGGACGTTTAATAAACAGAAAATTGCAAAAGAAAATAAAAAGCAAATATTTCAACAGCAACAGAAAAGAAAAATTAAAGACTACTCTTTAGAACAAGATTCGTCTGATGAGGATTATGAATTTTGGGATGAAACTGAAGATTTTGTTTCACACCAGGATGCTATTACAAGTATTATAATTCATCCACTTATGGAAGAAGTTTGTCCATGTGGAGATACTAAAGAAACTAGTGGTTTTTCGATAATAACTTCGTCATTGGACGAAAAAGTGAATTTTTGGCAATTAACACGAAGTTTTATAAATTGTAAGTGCATGGCTTCCCAACTTGATGATTACGATGGCGAAGATGCCTCAGAACGACCTCAGAAAGTTTCTCAGTGGGATAATGCAACAATAAAATATCTCGGACATGTGGAACAACCTGGCGGTTCAGAAACTGTGCTTCTTAAAGGAAATATAATTGGAGTTCGCCGTGTTAAAAATTCAAAAGTACACACGAAAAGAAGCCATGGTGCTGAAGGTGAATGGGAGGTCTGGACTCTGGATATTAGTGACCTTCATATGCTCGAGTTAACTGAAAAGATTGAAAATTCTGAAAATCATGATGATTTTGTTGATTTTGAAGTTAAAACTATTCCATTGGTTAGCGAAATCGATATTATAATGGAGGAACAAAGAAAGAGTAAAGACAAACGACAAGGTCGCGAAAATGTGGGGAGATTAAAAGGATTTGTTGGGCGACGTAACGCTGTTTCGATAGCAAACAAGAATTACAATCAAAATCATTTGCATGATCACAATGAAGAGGACTATGCACAAGGTCAAGTTGTGGATTTTAGGAATCCAAGTCAAAAACGACGTGTTTACCCAGATAACAGTCAAAATGATCGAAAACTTACATCATTTAAGGAAGATGATGAAATGAATGAAATGCTACCATTTTCTTATATTCGACGAGTTGTTAAAGTGGGTGAAGATGGAATAGCTGTCACGTATGGCAATTTCGTTAAAGTCATATCGTTTAACGATAACTAAACGACAATACTGGAAAAGAACGAATTGCAAAACGAACAACTTATAAAAAATTGAACTAAAAAGATACAAATAGTATTAAACGACTGTTTTAATATATTTCACAAACAGCATTAAAATAATCATTGTATATATATATATATATATAATCAAATATCAAATTATGGGGAGGAAGTATTAAAAAAAAAAAAAGAAAAAAAAAAAAAGAAAAAAAAAAAGGAAAAAAAAAAAATCTAATTACTATTAGGTTAGCACTCGATGTTCATTAATTGCTAACATATGGAAACCCATAAAAATTATTAATTTGCAAAAATTGTTGAACTCACTAGAAATGATATTTTAAGAATTTTTCTTGAGTAATCTAACAATAATTTGCAAAGTTATAAACTGTTCGTAATTAGTTTGAACTTTACGTAGCATTTTATAATAAGACTCGCTTTAAATAAGAATATATTCTGAACACCAACTCATTGATTAAATAAGGTGAATAAGACAAAAGTAAGTTGTTATAAAATTAAGTTAGAAAAAATTAAGTTGTAAGAAAATCACTTATGATCCGAAAGTTTATAGCATCGAAATAAGCATTCATTCATCGAGTTTTTAATTCAGTTAATCATCGAGTAAATCAGTCAAAGTTAAAATTCTAACTACATGCTTTGATAGTGATAAATTTTATGTAAAAAAAAATGGCATAGAGGATTTCTATGGGTATGTACCCGGTTTATATGAATAACCAATCATATCGCAGGATACTTGTGTAACGAATATAAAGAAATTTGCTTTGTGTTACTAAGTTTTTACGTAGCGCCTAATTTTACATATAAGCTCTAACGCTAACCCTAACCCTGATATAGTGCTCACCCTAACCCTAAAGTTAATTTTAAATTTTTATTTTTCTCTAGTTATTTTCTAATATCTTAATTAAAACTCAGTAAACATTCGAATATTCAGTTTAGAGGTCGGAACCGAGTTATGAAATTCGACTTCAACTTCGGGTTAAACCGGTTTAAATAGTAAATCGTTTTGTAATGTTCTAATTCGGTTGTAACCCTCCGACAAACCGGTTTTTAAATTAGCATTCGGTTTTATTTTATTTTCTATCAAATTTCGA